GGGTTGCACTTTTTTTTTAAGCACTTTCTTTTTTAGCCCCCCCCCCCCACACACACACACACTCAGTGATCAAGCTCTGGGTCTCACAGACTAGGCACGAAAGAATTCTATTCACAACTGAACTCTCTGGTATTGAAAGAAAAAAGATCTCTTATGAAATGGAATTAGGATACTCTTGAATGTTCAAAATTGAGCTGTACCTACACAAGCCAGCCTTCTGCCTTCAACACCAGCACATGCTAGAAACGTGTACCTTGTAATTTCCTATTCTTAAAGTATTTTGCCTCCATTCCTGCTCACTTGCCTCCTTCCTTTCTTCCTTCCTCTCTTCCTCCCTCTGTTCAGTTTAAAGGAACCCTGGCCCAGGAACTCAGATTTAGGTTACCCTAAATTCCATGTTTCATGTAGTTTTACATTTTTACAGAAAACAAAGAAGACTTTCATAAATCAATTTAAGTTTAAAGTGTATTGGTGAGAATACCAGAGGGGTGGTTACAGCAAGATAGGGAAGCTTTTCTCTATGCCTCACTTGCTATCTTGATGATACTCTTAGCTTTGGGTTGATAGAAGCTAAGTCTGCTAACTTAATAGATCCCAAAAGGTTTTTATCTATTAGTCACAGAGTATTAATTCCAACACAGAGGCACTCAAGGAATGGCTGTTGATGGGGCTAAAGCTTGTTCAAAATAAGGTAATTAGCCTCTGAACCAGCAACATCCCAACCTCTCCACATCAAGATAGTTCTAATTTGTTCATCAGTCTTTGCAAAAACAGCTTCTTGCCCAGCTTTCTTTCCCATTGGCCAGGCATCACAGGTTGAGGATGTAGGGGCCACATATTATTTATTAAATATTAGAAGGTTCCTCATAGCCAGGAGGCTCATTCCTAGGGTCTGATGTTGATGAGGCTGAGTCGTGCCATGCCACTTGCCCTCTTGCTAGGAAATGCCTATGTATATGTTTTTATATTTGTCTGCTCTCTCTCTCTCTCTCTCTCTCTCTCTCTCTCTCTCTCTCTCTCTCTCTTTCTCTCTCTCTCTTTTCTCTCTCTCTCTCCCTCTCTCTTCCCTCTCCCCCCCCTCTCTCTCTCTCTCTCTCTCTCTCGTGTGTGTGTGTGTGTGTGTGTGTGTGTGTGTGTGTGTGTGTGTGTGTGTGTGTGTGTGTGTCTATGTGTTTTAAGACAGGGTTTCTCTGTGTTGCTTTGCAGCCTGTCCTGGAACTTGCTTTGTATACCAGGCTGGCCTTGAACTCACCGAGATCTGCCTGCCTCTGCCTCCCGAGTTCTGGAGTTAAAGGTGTGCATCATCACAGCCTGTTTTCAATGAATACAAGAAAGAGGGTAGAGAAGGGTGACAGACCAGCTTTGTTAACAACACAGGTGCAAAATGAGTCTCCATTATCACTGTGAAGGAAAGGACTTTTTTTGCTAGGGAGCCTTCTTTGTACTGTGATATCTCTGGGATTAATGTGAGTGTGTGAGCAGGAGCGGACACACACACACACACACACACACACACACACACACACACACAATGATGGTTTGTTTTGTGGGGCAGGGGGAATCTTGTCCTGAAGGTGGCCAGCAGTGCTCAGCAAAAGCCTGGGTCTTGACTCCTTTAGTATTTACTTCCAAATCGTATCTGATGACTTATAACTTGTTGCTTTCCATTTAATTGGAGTAGAAATTTTTTCACTTATTTCATTAATCTTTCTCTTTTTTAACTAAATTTACCTTTTACGTTTTTATATGTGTACTGTATGTACACTATTCCCCCTTTCCTCTAACCCCTCCCATGACCCTATTCCAAATTCATGGTTTCATATATGTATGTATGTGTATGTATATGTGTGTATGTGTGTTATACACACATTAATGAATATGTAAATACATCCTGTTGAGTTCATTTAGTGTTGTTCTTCTGTGTGCTTTTAGGACTGACCACTTGGTGCTGGATAACCACTCAGGAGGTTCATCCATGGGAATGGCTAATTTTCTCTCTTTCTCGGGAGTTGTTAATTGCCTGTAGCTCGTTGAGATTTCCTCCACCCACAATGGCATGTCAGTCGCTCTTGTCACTGTTTGGATCTTGTTTAGGCAGTCATATTATTGAGATTTCATGGGTGAAGCAATTATATATATTGATATAATCATGAAGCAGTCTTCCTGGTCCCCTGATTCTTACAATCTTTGCACTCATTCTTAGATGTTTCGAGCCTTAGGTATTTGGGTTGTGTTGTAAGCCTATCAGTTGGGTCTGGGCACCCCACAGGTAGTTAGTTGTTCTCTAAATCTTGACAAGTTGTGGATTTCTGTAATAGTCTTCATCTGCTACAAAAAGAAGCTCCTTTGATATGAGCTATACTTATATGTGGGTATAAGGATAAGTATTTAGACTGTAGTTAGGAATTATATTAGTTTAGGGACGTGGAAGTAGTAGGTTTTCATTTAAAACCCATACCTTCACTAGTCATGGATAGTTGATTAGGTTTACAGTACTAGGCCTCAACTCCTTTCTTTCTGTTAAGTAACCGTTATGGCCAATTAAACCAGTGGTTCTCAACTTATAGGTCATGACCCCTTTGAGAATTAACTGAACCCTTTCACAAGGGTTGCCTAAGACTATTGAAAACAGATCATTATGTTATGATTTGTAACAGTAGTAAAGTTACATTTATGAAATAGCAATGTAAATAATTTTATGGTTTGGGGGTCACCACAATATTAGGAACTGTATTAAAGGGTTGTAGCATTAGGAAGGTTGAGAACCACTGAATTGAACAGCGTTGGTTACCACTTAGATGTAAGTGCCACTATTGCATTTTGGGGATATCTTGCCATGCTAGTTATTGTTGTGGTTTGTTGAGTATCACAGCTGGGTAGGACTATTGATTGCTTTTCACCCTTAGCAGCTTACATAGCACATTATAGCACTATGAGGGCTAGTCCTAAAGGAGGCTTTCAGTTCAGTTCTTCCAAGTCACCAAGTCCAAAGTGTGTGGTGTCTTCAGCAATAGACCTTCAACTTCTGGGAGGCAACCAAGGGCAACAGCAATACTTCATGTTGTTTGGGAAGTTTCTTGGATTCCCCTGACCAACAACTTGAAAGGAAATTTCTTATGCCTGCTACTGAGGTTTTTGTTAGTCTGTAACTCCTGGGGAGAGCATTATCACTCCAAGTGTTGTACATTTATTTCACTTCATTAAATCCATGTGCGTAATACATAAATGTTATATGTAGTTTTAGGCAAATGTAAACTATGAAAAGCCCTGTGGCTTTTTCAAGTATCTGTAGTGTTTTCTATCCTTCCTCTCTCCCCACTTAAAGCTTCCCCCTTTTCTCATTTCCCCTTTCATATGACCTGCTACCCTTTATACCAAGATGATGCAGTAATATATGTGACTATCATGTTAAGATTTTTCACACTTTACAATTATTTTGTTGGTTTATAGTTATATTTATCTACTCTCCCCATACATATTTCATATTGACAAGAAAAAAAACCCATGAAACCACTGTTTTGCCATTATCTTTAAGGATTTGATTTGTATTAGGGATTGAGTCTATTTCCTAGTGTGTTTTGGATAAGTTCTTGGCTTTGTGATTTTTTTTTTAAGCTCTATTCTTTTCTATGTAGCTTGACATCTGTTTATTTACAGTTACAGTTTTTATGGTCTACTTCCTTTTTATTTCATCCCTTCTTGTGTTTCTTTCTTTCTCTTCTGAACATACTACTCTCTGGTTGGTTGTAAACTCCAAGAAATAAATATCCCTATTTTGAGGAAATGTTCCCTGGATCAGTTCCGTAGCTCTTCCCCCAACCAGAACACAGCAGATTGCTGTTGAATTTTGAATGTCACCAGCAGACAGATGATAATGGCTCAAGATGGATAATGAAATGCTTGAAACACAGATGGGCCCATAAATCAATTTTCTTTTTCTTAGGACTTCCTTCTGACACCGAAGAATCAATATAATTAACACTGGTTTCAGACCAATATCATTTGAATGGTACCTCTATGGCCCTACTGACTGCTCTATTTATTGGATACTTGATGGGTGCTGTACTTTGCTCTGTCACCTAGTCGGGGAAAGGCTACATTGAAGTGTTTACTAATAGTTATTTTGGGGGTTGTTATTGTTTGGTGTGTGTGTGTGTGTGTGTGTGTGTGTGTGTGTGTGTGTGTGTGTGTTTGTGTGTGTTTGTGATGTGGGGTAGGGGTGTGTATTGGGGCAAGTGCCTATGCAGATGTGTGTGCATGTGGAGGCTAAAGGATCTACCTACCTTGCTTTTTAAGACAGGGTACCTCACTGGTGTGGAGTTTACCAAATAGGCTAGAGTGGTTTCCCTGTAGGACCACCTGACTCTACCTCCCTAGCCGAGGTGACTACCCACATCTCCCTAGCCAAGAAGGCTACCTATCACCTCCCTGGCCAAGGTGGCTACCCACCATGCTGGGCTGTTCTGTGTGTTTTTAGGAATTGAAGTCAGATCCTTATGATTGCATGACAAGCACTTTACTTCCTGACCTATCTCCTTAGGTCCTGTTGTTCGTGTGGATGAGGTGTCACTATATAGCTCAGACCAACCTAGAACTCAAGATGGCCTGCTTTTACCTCTCCAGGATTGGGATTATAGGTGTGCACCACCACCACACTATGCAAAAACCACTGATTTCAAAAGTAAATCTTCCACAGACAGTACTCAGCCCATGATCTCAAAGGGGGCACCCACGAATGTCATGTGCATCATTCATGTTATAGGATGATTTAAAGTTCCAATTAAAAAGAAAAGTACATGAACTTGATGGTAATGGTTTGGAGATATCAGGAATAGTTAAGCTCAACAGTGTATGTAATCAAATAGAAAAAGGTTGTGAGGTTTTGTTGCTGATGGTGCTCCTTTTTGTTTTATTACAACAGAATCAGGGAAGGTTACAGGTGATAGTAACCTATGGATTTCTATTTTCAGATAACAGGTCTCTTTCTGCTTTATCTCCAGCATCAGTCCCTGGCCAAGATGATGATGATGATAGTGGTCACTCAATGTACACCCCAGACCACTACTCTACACTAGGAAGGCTTGATAGCTATCGGCCTACAGGGCAGCGCTCAGAAACCAGGGACTCCAGCTGTCAGACAGAAGACGTGAAAGTCATCCCACCATCAATGAGGAGGATCAGGGCCCACAAAGGGCTAGGCATCGCTGCCCAGATGAGCCACCTCCCGGGCTCCTCTGGCAACATGTCTGTGCTGAGCGATTCGGCTGGTATCGTGTTCCCATCTCGCCTCAATAATGATGCTGATTTCCACAGTCTCCCACGGTCTGGTGCGAGAGCAAGCACCTATTCCCTGGAGTCAAGGATGGGTGCCCTGGGCTCTGCTGACAACATGGATGACACTTTCCGCCACCAGGGGGGTAGCTCCCAGGGGCATGAAAACTTTGCACATTTAGGGGGTGCCTCGAGGTCTGGAATGCTCTTGAGGCCCAAATCCCAGCAACTGAGGTTCTCAGAGAGCGAAAACATAGCAAGTCCAGCATGTGTGGTTTCGCCTCATGCAGCCTACTCTACCAGTGTCATTCCAAATGCCACACTACTGTCTTCTTCAGAGGTTATTGTTATTCACACTGCTCAGAGTATGGGACAGCTGGACAGTAGAATGCCTGGGTCATCCACGTACTCAAAGATAAAACCCAGAGATCGCCCCATGCCCAGATGTTCTCTGAAAGATGACCATCAGTCCCCGAGTCACCACTGGAATGAGCGTCATATTATTCATTCACAGGCTTTAGCCTCCTCTGCCTCTAGTGCCACCACACTGTTGTCCCTCTGTGATTCAGAGGTCCCTCTAAATGCCCCAGCCAGCAGGGAGAATGGGTCTCAAGCCATACCCTATCATTGTAGAAACAACCTGAACTTTCCTGCCCACCTTCCAGAGGTGGATGGCAAGAGCGAGTCTAGTTATTCGGGGGACAGGGGGCATGGCAGTTCTGAGCCCTGGGAATGTAGAGCTTCCAGCAATGGTCAGGCATCCCCACTGAAGCCACACCTGGCAACACCTGGTTGTTCTACTCCCACGAGTAACATGAGCAGCTGCAGCTTGGACCAAACATCTGTCAAGGAGGATGCCAGGTCCCTGTATTCAGAGGACCACGACGGTTACTCTGTGACCACTCACAGTGACTCTGGACACGAGACTGGAAACGTGTACAACATCAGTGATGGCTTTGGGAACCCCAGGCACAGTATGGTCAATGTTTTTGATGGAAGGGCTCAGAGAAGCCAAGGGGATCAGGCCAATCATCAGGATAAATCCCTTTCCAGAAACATCTCTCTGAGGAAAGCAAAGAAACCACCCCTGCCACCCTGCCGCACGGACTCCCTTCGAAGGGTTCCCAAGAAGAACAGCCAGTCCAATGGGCAGATGCTCAATGAGAGCCTGATCGCCTCGCTCCAACACTCGCTGCAACAAAGCCTACCTGGCAAGGGTGGCAGCTCCCCTTCCCAGAGCCCCTGCAGTGACTTTGAGGAACCCTGGCTCCCTCGCTCCAGAAGCCAGAGCATTGTCAGTGAGGGTAGCAGCATGACCTCCACCACCACTCCCAATGTGTACTCTCTGTGTGGGGTTACTCCATCACAGAGTGACACAAGCAGCGTCAAGTCAGAATACACAGACCCTTGGGGCTACTACATTGACTACACCAGCTTTCAGGAAGAGCCAGGGAATCCCACAGGGGGCTGCTCGGCCAGCAGTGAGGCGCCAACTGGAAATGGGCCAGTCTGCCATATCCAAGAGGGGTCCAGAGGCCCAATGCCCCAAGTGCCTGGTGGCTCAGTTAAACCAAAGATCACGTCACCGGAGAAGTCACAGAGAGTCACCTCTCCATCCAGTGGGTATTCCAGCCAGTCTAATACACCCACAGCTCTCACCCCTGTGCCTGTATTTTTAAAATCAATGTCACCAGCAAATGGGAAAGGGAAGGCCAAGCCCAAGGTACCAGAAAGGAAGTCGTCTCTAATCTCCTCAGTGTCCATCTCCTCTTCGTCCACTTCTCTCTCCTCTAACACTTCTACAGAAGGAAGTGGCACCATGAAGAAATTGGATTCAGCCCTGGCCTCGCCCCTTGCTCCTCCCCCTCCCCTTCCCCCTCTGCCTTCTCCCTGTCTGGCAGACAAGTCCTCCTTTCTTCCACCACCTCCTCCTCTAGCAGATTGCCCCGAGGGCTCTCCTCTGCCTCCATCTCCGGTGTTCCCCCCTCCGCCACCAGAAGCCCTTGTTCCCTTCTGCTCCCCCACTGACAGGTGCCTTTCTCCTCCCCCCACAGCTCTTAGCTCTCCTCTTCCTGGATCCTCACCTCCCTTGCCAGCACCTCCACCTTTCTTGCCCTCGTCAGAACCCCCTCCAGCTCCACCCCTGGACCCCAAATTCATGAAAGACAGCAGGCCTTTTTTCAAAAACTCTAGGCAGTCCGAATCCTCCAGGGAGGCCCTCAGGCGGCCTGCCAACAAGGAGGAGGGTTGCCGACCCCCCATGCCCTTGATCACCACGGAAGCGTTGCAGATGGTACAGTTGAGGCCAGTGAAAAAGAACTCAGGCGCCGAGACAGCCCTGTTTTCTGAACCATCAGCTCAGGAACAACGAACTCCGACTGCTCCACAGTATCACTTAAAGCCATCTGCTCTCCTCAAATCCCGAAATAGCATAAATGAAATGGAGAGTGAAAGCCAGCCTGCCTCTGTGACGAGCTCGCATCCGATGCCTGCCAAGAGCCAGAGTCAGGGTGACCATGACAGAGCAGCCGAGCGTGGCGGCCTTCTGAGCCGCAGTGATGGAGCTCAGTGTCCAGGACCCAGCCTCAGGACCACTCTGCTCCCAGACTCTTCACCCAGCAGGAAGCCACCCCCCATCTCCAAGAAGCCCAAACTGTTCCTGGTGGTACCACCTCCGCAGAGAGATTTCACAGCGGAGCCCACAGAGAACGGGAGCGAAGCATTTCCAGGCGTGCCCAGCCCTCCCAGGGCAGAGGAGGAGGCTGTACACAGTCAAGAGGAGAAAACCAGCCCAGCATCCCGAGCTGGTTCTCATGCTACGCCCCCCACCCCCAACAGTCCGGTTCTGGAAAGAGGAGCTGCAGGGTCTTTGTCCCCTGGCTGTGTGGAGACCAATGTCCCCATGGTTCAGCCCAGTGACTCACCGGGCCCTACACAGGAAGAGTCAGCCGAGAGCAGCGTGGATGGTGAGGGCAATGCGGAGAGCTGCCGGTCTCAACAGGGCAGGGAAGGTAAGCCTGGCTGCTCTCCGTTGTACTCTTCTGATGCTCTGGAGCTGAGCCAAATAGGGCTGCTGAACACTCATTGCAAACCAGGTGAAGCAGCCCAGACTTAGGCGAGGGCCGGCAGCGTGTGGGCTTCTGACACCTCATTACCCACGCTGCTTCGTGAAAATTTTAAAATCTCTGGATCCAAGAGAAGAGAGGGAAAAGTAAGTGTGTGTGTGTGTGTGTGTGTGTGTGTGTGTGTGTGTGTGTGTAAGTGTACTCTGGGGTGGCAGCCTTCACAAGGCTGGGTATTCAGCAGCAGGAGTAATCTCCCTTCAGAAGAGCTACAAAGAAATGTTCTAACAAAATTTAAGAGCAACTTCGTCCAAAGTCTGTAGCAGGAAACACTGAGCCCTGACTGCCAGTAAGTGTTGTGTCTCCCTCTCTCTGTAAAAACGCATACTGCAGACCCACCCGCTTCCCCGTGGCTCTCTCACTTTGTCAGAAATGACAGGGAAGCGGTATGTTTCAGAGCCGGGCCAAGGACTGAAGTGCTAGTCACGGCATCTTGTGTTTGCCTGCTTTTCTTCTCTCTAGCTGGGCTGCTGGAACCCAACACAGCTTCTTCCTCAGATGCTCGGGACTTCTCTAAGGAAGATGGGAGTGATGACGTCATGACCCCCACTAGACCCATGACAACAGAGGACCTGTTTGCAGCCATTCACAGGTATCCCAAACTCCTTTGTTATACTTCAGTATATTTTCTAATGCCTTCTTTCCAGGAGGTGCCTCTGCTGTCTTGCGGTGTCTTCTGTCAGCCAGGGATGGCTCCTTCAACTTCACTCATTTTTAAATCTTTCTTATACTTTAATTTTCCTTTAAGTCTGATTTCTGTTTTTACTTTGTTCCATTGGTTTCCATGCTGACATTGAGGACATAGTGTGGTACCTGCTCATTGACACAGCTGTGGCTGGCAAGACACCTAGTGTGTCAGTCATGTGACCCAGTGTTTACAAGATTTGGATCCCGCCCTAGGGTGAGGAAGGCTGCCTTCTGTGGACTTAGGGTACATAGACTAGCCCTATAGAGCCATTTTCCTAAGAATGCTTTAGTTGATTTCTTTATCATTTTGTTTGTTTTTTAGAAAATCCATAATTTCATACTGCTTTTTTTTTTTGGCTCTTTCAATGTTTCATCAAGAGTATATGTTTCTTTTTTTTCTTTTGTCCTCCAATTACTCCCATATCTGCCCCCAGTCATTTCAAATTTTCTCTCTCTTTCCCCCCCCCTCTCTCTTTCTCTCTCTCAGAAAATTCTTTTCCTTTTAAAGCCACTAGAAACCATGGGGTTCAATTTGTGTAGATCAGCTAGCTACACTTGAGCTGCCCTGGAATATGGTTGATATACCTAGTGTGGCTACATTGAAGGAATCTGACTTTTCCTCTTGAAGCAGCTATCATTTGTGAATAGCTTCTTGATGAGGGGTGTGACATTGTGCCCAGTTTCCCTCTTTTGTGCTGGGATTTTGTCTACCTTTTTTATATAGACTGAGTTCATTTGTAGGTCTGTCGTGTTGTGTCTGGAAAATGCCATTTCCTTAAAGTTGTCCACCACATCTAGATCTAACATCCTTTCCACTTGCTTCTTCCATATTCCAGAGCTTTGCTGGTCCTGATGCAGAGTTGAGCACTGTCTCCAAAGTCTCTAGTGGTCTCAAAGTCTCTAGTCTCTTTTGCAGGAGCAAAAAAGCACACTTTGTTACCATATACCCCTGGCGCCACCTGCTGTCTTTTTTATAGAAGTACAGCCAGCAGGTTTTTCAAAGGAGCTGTGTTTAGATGGTTACCCATGAGAGTAACTGATTGCACACTGTAGCCTTATTTATTACATTGCTTGGCTGTATACATCCGAGTCTCTCCACAGTGGCATCAAAGTAGAAAATGATAAGATTCAGATATGTACAAACATTTTAACGCTGTGTAAAGAAATGTTCTTGCTGCTTAGGTTTCAAATCTATGCTGTCAAGACTTCGTTTTGACCTGAGTGATGGTCCCTTATTTTCCTTCTGGGACCAAGTACCCTATAGAATCATTTGATTCTCTGTATAAATAGCCCGTGCCATCACAGCTCCTGGATTCTTAGAGTTTAAAGTGAAAAGGTTGTTGTATTCAGAAGAAGAAAGTCCCACCCTCCACTAGAACTCTGTGCAACACAGAACTATCTAATGTGGGGGAAGTGAACTGGGATTTGAGTTACCAAGTTGAGTTGACAAAGAATTATGTGTATGTCTTTAGCTTGTCTTTGCTTTGTTTTTGCCTCTTAATTGTAGTTTTGGTCTAAAAGACCCTAAAGACCAGCCCCTTTTCTGTTGCTTCTCTGGTTTCTTTGATCTCATTAGAAATAAAAGGGAACTAGTTACCTGGTTCTTTCTCAAAACAGGGAAATGAGAAATTCATCTCTTGAAAGCAAATTAAGTGATGTTTGTAGAGGTTTACTCGGATGTTTCTAACTGTGGCCATATTGGACACATAATAAGCCCTCAATAAATATTTTCTGAATTAAATGAAACCAATTGGAACTTAACTGTTAGGAAATTCTGAGACCTAATGTCTTTCATTTAGGACGGAATGCACTGAGTTTCTAAATATATGGGAATCTGTATTTATAATCACAAGCCACAGGGATGTGTGTTGCCAAGTTGCTGTGTGTACTAAATACTCGGTCTCAAGGAAATCCAACTGTTGTGGAGCCAAATCACTGCAGATTTTTTCCTAAAAATATTCCAGAGGTCTCTTCTATATTTTATTTTGGCAGCCTTCAGAAGGCTCTGGAGAATGTGTGGTTTCTGCTACAGGGACAGTGCCATCTATTACAGATATAGAAATCAGCCAGTTTGTAACATTCCCTGCACACATGGGAGAATTACAGGCCAAGCAGCCTTAGGAGTAGATTGAAAAGACAGAACTCAGTTATATGCTAATTTCTGTTGTCAGTATTAATACTGAATTAGCAGATGTAATCAAAGTCCATCTGAAGCCTGGGGCACTTAGAATGTTATGTTCACAACGTTCAGCACCTAAATTCATAATGTCATTTAAAGACTATCCAAGTTGAAGCACAGCTTTTAAGTGTTATCATGCAAATTAACTCCCTTCAGATTTAAAGCCAGATGGAAAGTGTAGAACACCAGTTGAGGTGTGAAATTTTTATATTTGTTGAAGCAATTAGACTTTAATCCAGTGTTAACTATTTAAATGCCTGTTAGAGCTATCATCTTTAGAAATGCACACACACACACACACACACACACACACACACACACACACACACACCACACTATGCAGAGACATCAGAAATTTAAATTTAACTCATTTTGTTGGAGGCAGCTGCTCCCTGAGAAACAACAGTGTTTTTGTTTGTTTGTTTGTTTGTTTTTGTTTTTGTAAACCTTGCCATCTCTTTTAGTTCAATATCTACAATTAAAGGCTCTAAATTTCAAAGAGCATGATTGTGACGTTTTGTGCCTCAGCACACTCCGACAATTTAAAAGCAAGTCAAAACATAATAGCACAGATTAGTGTCTGGAAGATTGAGAAGGCAGAGTTGCTCTGGTGGGTAGCCAGTGTTCAGCGATATAGATGTGTAAGTACATGGCAAGAAGGTCCATCAAGACTGAGTTGTGCTAAGTATGTCTGTGTGTGTGGGGGGGGATCATAGTCTAGATTCCCCTTTTAAATACACAATTAGACAAGACCCCTTCTAAGCTCTTTTCCAGCTCCATAAATTTGAAACTCTTCTTTCATTCCTTGCTCTTGGTAACCATCATGCAGAACTGTTAAACAAAGGTACTTTAGGCACATTCTGCTGCCATGAGGGGAAGGGACTTCTGGTGCCTTGACTTCAATAGTAAATAACATCAGAGAAGTGAAGTTCTTGGGCTCATCTTTAATGTTTGGAGAGAGAGAGAGAGAGAGAGAGAGAGAGAGAGAGAGAGAGACTGTTCACTAAGGTGACAGGAGGATGACAGGTGATTGCAGTAAGGGTTGCTGAGGAGTGACGTTTATCTCAATTTTGTTTTTAATTTAGATCCAAAAGGAAAGTCCTCGGCCGCAAAGACTCAGAAGACGATCACACCCGAAACCACTCTCCCTCCCCGCCAGTGACACCCACGGGTGCAGCACCTAGCCTGGCCTCTCCAAAGCAAGTAGGTTCTATTCAGAGAAGCATGAAAAAGAGTGCTACCAGCAGTGACAACTTCAAAGCTCTGCTGCTAAAGAAGGGCAGTCGCTCGGACACCAGCGCTCGCATGTCCGCAGCAGAGATGCTCAAGTCCACGGATCCTCGATTCCAGAGATCCAGGTCGGAGCCTTCACCAGACGTCCCGGACAGCCCGTCCAGCTGCTCCCCCAACAAGAACAGGAGGGCCCAGGAGGAGTGGGCCAAGAACGAAGGCTTGATGCCTCGGAGTCTGTCCTTTTCAGGCCCACGGTACAGCCGTAGCCGGACGCCACCCTCTGCGGCCAGCAGCAGGTACAGCATGCGGAACCGCATCCAGAGCAGCCCGATGACTGTCATCTCCGAGGGAGAGGGAGAGCCTGCTGAGCCAGCGGACAACAAAACACACAGGGCCCCGGACTCTGCCAGGGGATGCTCTCTGGACAGGCTGGAGGGGAAAAAAGTGGACCCAGACAGCCTGCTGTGTAGGGAGGAGCCCACTTCTGTGGATGGCATGGGAAGGGCAGAGGGCAAAGGTCTCTCGGAGCACTGTGGGGGTAGTGAAGAGTTAGGGTCAGAACCTGCCTCTCTTGAGTGAGGTTGGAGGGAATGCATCACTCGGAAGTCTATGTGGCCTTTTCCTGGCTTGTGGGGACCCCACTCAGCATTGGTGATGGGGAGGTCTCAGCCTTGCAGGTCACTTAGGACTCACTCGCCATGTGGCTTAAAAGCAAGTAGAAGCTTCAACTTCTGAAAGTGCTTCCTGGGGAAGATTTTTGTTTGTTTGTTTGCTTGTTTGTTTTTCCCAAAAATGCCAGGTGTGTGTATATGTGTGCATTTTGAACACTTTATTCTAACACATACACACACTAACATTGTGTATAGAAATAGGAGAAGTCAGAGTTAAGGTAGATAGAGTCATGAAGACTTCTGGACCGTGGTGGTAACTGCTTTCAATGCATTATGGGTATGGGAATGAGTAAGTTCAGTAAGCTAAGAGGCAGCGGGGCTGATCCTAACCATGGAACACCGCCATGTGTGCATGTGCTATAGCTCAAGACACAACATGGAAACCCTGAAGAGACTGGGAAATGGCTAAGCAACTCATTGGTTCAGGTACTTTGTGGGGGAGGGGCTCTGCTGATGCTGCTTCCTCCTTCTTTTGTAAAAATAACCCAAGTGGAAGTGTGGAGACTATGTCCTGTGCCTACCACTCACACTTCTAGCCTGATGTTGGAAGCGTGGGTGGGTTTTTTTTTTTTTTTTTCTTTTTTAAAACATGAATTCCCTAGAGTTGCAACCAAGCCCTTCTCCAACGGAGGTGATGCTATGGTTGCTGAGGTGATGGTGTAGTAGAACGAGGGAAGAGAGAGGCAAGAAGAGCAGGGTCTCATGAGGAGAGGGGAATGGGTGATGCTGCTGGATTGTTTCCTGTTTATTAAATAAAATATTTTCAGAATTAAATCAGAAAACGTGCACTGTAGAACTGTGGGTGGGTGAAGCTTTTCCTTTCAAAAGAGTTCTTTTGTTTTCAAACCAGAGTGTAAACTTCCGTGTGACAGCTTGTCACTTGAAATGTCGACATTGCTAACTCTTGGATCTCCTTTTGGTTATACCAAAGAAAAATAATACAGCTATTCCCCCACCCCCTGAACTGCTTGCAGCATCATGTCCTTACTTAGAAGGTTTACCAAAATCTATTATATAGTATCTCACTTTCAAGAAAATGCTGACTCTTGTTAGTGGAAGAAACTGATAAAATTGGTAGGGCTTGGCTATTAATTAGCCCTGGGAAATGAGTTTTTAGATTAAAAAGATTTTTTTTTTTGCACCATTTGATTTGTGTGGTTTTTGTATTTGTTTATGAGTTGAGTTGCTGAGTCCCTTCTGGGTTCTTCCCATTAGAATTCCAGCATGTTTTAGAATTGGGATGAGAGTGTGCAAAGTGTTTGTTTTACTGTAACAATTTGTGCCCCTTGCTTCCTTCCAGGTCTCGTATGCCCAGAACAAACCACACTCTTCATTTTTCTCCCAATGATTACATCGAACTTTTAAAGCCACTGTGGTTTGCCATTGACAACCACAAATGATGACTTGACATGTGGCCACAGGGATTTTTTTCTTTTAATCCTTTGGGTTAATTTTCAACTACATGGGGGCACACAGATCATTTTTTGTAAATCTTAGGAAGGTCATATTGAGTTTTGCATACCTAAAAAAATTAGAATGTATGTGGCTATCAGAAATCTTGAAATTAATATATCAATATTTGTTTGAGGGCAAGATGAGGAGCACTAGAACTAATTATAAAATGATTTAAAATCCCCATTTTAAAGATATTTATTAGGTTTTTAAGTTTGCTTTGAATAAAACAATTGTAAAGTCAGTATTTGAAACTTGTTTGTATGTGCATTTAAAGTTTCTTAAGTAAAAAAAAAAGTTTCTTAAGTTTTCAAAGAAGTATCTATTGTATGTCAAACATATTTTTTCCTCATACCCCATCTCTTCCTACTTCTCTCCACCTCCCATTAGCCTTGGGCGGTTTTATTCCTACTTTCTATGGAACTATTCTACTAATACAGAATCATTGAGTATGTTTACTGGACATGAAGTGAAAAGCAGTGAGACCCAGCTGGTGCTGGGTGGAGGCAGAAAGGAGACAGAACAGCAGAGGCATTGGGCAGTGCCTCTAAAGGCATATGAAAACCACTTTAGAAGATAACATTCTAAAGTGTGAGTGATGGATGGACCAGTTTAGTTGGTGTGGTTTGTGGAGTGAGGTGATTTCATAGATGTGAGTAATATACAGGGAAAGAAGAATCTAGACTCACTGCATATCCTCGGTGTTGCTGCTTTTCTGGCTTGAGGACTACTTCTGTGTGTGGGTTAGGTCATATTTCAGGCTTTGTGAGAGCCAAGTGGATGGCTCTCCTCATGCTGGAGAGCTAGAGAGGTACCAGGGCTAAGTTTCTACTTCATTTTTCTAAGAATTAGTGAATATTTGGTCTGTGTGTTGGAAAGAGTCTTAACTTTGGGTCCCTTGCTATCCTCTGAGGGTTTTTAATTGAAATTGGTCACCTTTCATGTAGGGGCAAGAATGAACACACACACACACACACACACACACACACACACACACACACACACACACACACACACACACACACACACACGCTCTCGAGCGCGGATCCATGAGTTCTGTATCTAGGAAGTCAACTAACTACAGATCAAAAAACATCTGCAAAAAGGATGGGGTGGGCTTGCTTTTTGTGAGTGAAACTCGTATTAGTTTTGTAACTGTTCATTTGAGGAATTAAAACCACAAGGAAAGAAAAGGGGGCATTTCGGTGTCTACATTATCTCCACCCACTGGTGATACCCTGCACTCTGTAGCTAGGATCCTGGCAATCAGATGACATACTAGATAGATTTCATTGTTTGCACATGAACTTTTTCTCAGCCTACATGCAAATAAATGTTTATATCAGTGAGGTTCCATCACCTGCATCTTATAATGGATGTGGCTTGCTCTGCCAACTTTATAATGCAGCAATTCTTATAGGATCTAAGTAACAACAGTTTGGGGCACAATACCATTTACTGTCCCATGTTTCCATCTCCCCCAGCATCCTATAGTATTCCAGAAGCTATTAATTCAGTCTTATTGTTAGCATAACTTGCTTTTAGGACCCCAGGAACATGCACATAGTTCTTCCATTGAGAGACAGAAAGAAGAGAGAGAGAGAGAGAGAGAGAGAGAGAGAGAGAGAGAGCCCCACATAGTCAAATCTGCATGGATGTGGAGGACAGAGGTTTGATATTGAATGTCTTCAGTCTTCAGTTGCTCTCCATCTTATCTTTTGAGACAGGGTCTCTCTTTGAACCTGGAACTTGATTAGGCAAAGCTGTCTGGCCAGTGAGCACCAGGGATCTGCTTGTTTCTATGTCCCCAGTCCTGGGATTATGGTACACAGTGCCCTACACGGGTACCAGGGCTCTGAATCTGGACTCTCATGCTTGAGTATCGAGTGCTTCACCAGCAGAGCCACCTTCCTCCCATCTGATTTCACACTCACTACACACTGCTAGTGGTCTGTTGTGTGTTGTTTTCTTGCCTTTTTTAATTTTTAAAATTTATGTATAGGATTACTCTATCTGCATATATAACTTCTTGCCAGAAGAGGGCATCAGATCCCACTATAGATGGTTATAAGCTACCATGTGCTTGCTGGGGCTTGAACTCAGGACCCCTGGAAGAGCAGCCAGCTCTCTTAACTGCAGAGCCATCTCTCCAGCCCGTGTGTTTTTTCTTTACCAAAGATACCTCCAGTACCACAGGATCTACCAAACCCAGGAAGCTAATTCCTTTACATCTGTCACTTCCAAAGAAGCTTTTCAACTAAGTAACCTCTCTACTATGACGACATTCACTTGGGGACTTTATCTGATGTCTTAGCATGTCTTACCTCTATTCTGGCTTAGTGGGGTCACAAGCTCCTTCCAATTCCAGGATCTGTAAATTACATATTGAGCTACTTACCAGTTCTTCAGTCTGAACATGGTAGCCAAGCTTTGCAGCATCTTTGGCACATAGCCATTTATTCCAGAGGCAGGTGGATCTCTGAGTTTGAGACCAGCCTGGTCTACAAGAGCTAGTTCCAGGACAGCCTCCAAAGCCACAGAGAAACCTTGCCTCTAACCCCCCCCCCCAAAGAAAGCAAATTGTGGTTACAATCCTGGAAGCCAAGAGAAGGGGGTCAGATTTTGGGATGCACCTATTACTCTTTGGAGGAAAGAACTTCACACTGCCCTTCCTTATGCCAGGGCAGAGGAAGGAGGGTCAGGTACTTCTCTATTTTAATAACTGGCAGTGGTCTCCCTGCAGGCTCAAGATATTCACAGTCTTCTAGGAATGAAAATTGTGTGGGTAGGGAGGATGTAGGTCAGCTGCTAGAATCCTTGCTTAGATTTGAGCCCTAGAACCTCATAAACTAGGTGCGTTAGCTGTTGCCAAGATTTCTTCCCATGGGAAACCACAAGGTCTACTCCTCCTCCTGAGGTTCCAACAACAACCTGGGGTATGATTTCACCAACATTTACCCAGTAGAGCCAATGCGTTTTTTAGGCTTACTTACAGGCAGGATCCACTCTGGAAAGTGTACACCTTGCTGGGATGATGACTTCACTTCCCCATGAAAGCCCCGCCCCTCATATTTCCCCACCCACATGTTCTAGCCCCTCCCAGAGACTCATGCAGCAAGCAATTAGGGCCGAATTGAATATAACTGGTTGGGAGTGCTGGCTAGTCAGGTGAGGGTAGTGACCCTTCCCATCCCTTCCTTCCAAGAGGGAACATCAACAGTTCGACAGGCCCAGTAGTAACGATATCTGGTAAGCAGGCCGCGTTGGACGCCTGAAGATGTCAGCTGTTTGGCTCAGAGGATAGCTTCCTACAACAGTGGTGCAGGCCTGCCTGACATCTCTGCACATGGGAGGCGGAGATCAGAGGATCAGAAAGTCAAGGTCCTATTCAGTATGTATAGATTTAGGTCCCCGGTTAGCGGTGCTTTTCGGGGAGGTTTAGGAGCCTTGCTGGAAGAGGTATGCCACTGGAGGCAGGCTTTGACACTTGCAGTTCACTCTGCTTCCTGCTTTTTGAAGAGGTGAATTCTCACCGCCTGTCCCTTGTTGCCATACTTGGCGTCTTAATCTTCTGGAAAGGTAAGCCCGGATGAACCCTTTCTTCTGTGAGTTGCTTTTGGTCATGGTGCTTTATCACGACATCAGAAAAGTAATAAAAACAAGGAATTCAAGACCAGCCTGGGTTAGAGACCTGGTCTTTAAAAAAAAAAAAAGTGTGTGTGTGTGTTGGGGCGGGGGTGGGGGTGGGGAGGCTATCAGCCTGTCCTCATTGTGTTTCAGACTCCTACATTTGATTCTGTCTAGGCATCACTACATTTGATTCTGTCTAGGCATCACAGACCTGGTCTGGTTGGACATTGGCTGGTTTTTAGTTAGTTTTACCATCTGAGTTCACACTTGACCTTCAGAGTTTTGTGCTTGGCTGTATGGGTGAAGGACTTGTAATAGTTGATTTTCTGTATGCATCTGCATATTCATGTGTGTGGATACATGTGTGTATATGCATGTGGAACCCAGAAGCCCACCTCAGGTGTTATTCTTCAGATATTGTCCCCTTAACTTTGGGGGCAGTGACTCCTATTGGCCTGAAACTGGTGAAGTAGGCTAGGACAGCAAACCAAGCCCCAGCGATCTCCTTGAATCCACTTCCTCATCAGTAGGATTCCAAGGGCGAAGCATTGTACCTGGCATTTTTGTTGTTGTTGTTTTTTTTTGTTTTGTTTTGTTTTTTCGAGACAGGGTTTCTCTGTGTAGCTTTGGAGCCTATCCTGGCACTCACTCTGGAGACCAGGCTGGCCTCGAACTCACAGAGATCTGCCTGCCTCTGCCTCCCGAGTGCTGGGATTAAAGGTGTGTGCCACCAACGCCTAGCCCATACCTGGCATTTTTAAAGTGGTTCTTGGAACCGACCTCGAGTCCTTATGGTTTTATTTCTTGAGCCACTGGGGATAGGGGCTAAGCTCTTGTGTATAGTGGGTATGATGGCTAATCTTGGTTGTCGACTTGACACACCTGAGAAGAGGGAACCTCAACTGAAAAATTGCTTTCATCAGATTGATCTTCGGGCATACCTGTGAGGGCATTTTCTTGATTGCTAGTTGAGTTGATATATAAAGGCCCAGCCCACCGTGAGAAACGCTAACTCTGGGCAGGTGAATCTGGGCTGCTCAAGAATGAGCCAGCCAGGAATGGCAGCAAGCCAGCCACCAAGCAATGTTCCTCCATGGTTTCTGCCTTGTGTTCCTGTTTTGAGTCCCTCCCTTCACCCATCTGAAGGTGATTCTCTGCCACAACTCCACATCTCAGAAAGGAAGTGTCACAGTGACAAGTGGCAAGTAGGGTCAATACCAACTTCACATCAGCAACCCAACTTCTAAATGAGGCCACTGAGTATTGTCCCAGCTCTGGTAACTGTACCTCCTCAACTACAACTCAATCCATACAAGCTTTAGAAAGCCCTTTAATCCCCAGACTCTGGGTTTCCTAAAGCCCTTTGTAAGGTCAGCAGTTTTCTTTATCCATAGAGTCGGTGCCCTAGAGGCCTAGCTGTCCCACTCAGCAAGCAGCATGCACAGCATTTTAGTGTGGGTGCTGAACATGGCCTCTTCCTTTGCTGCTGCCACTTCTACCCAAGAGGTTCCCCCCCCCTCATCATTCTCACTCTCTCTGCTGTCCTTCAGAAGGACTTTCCCTGGCCATGATGTATAACCACCACACAAGTTTCCATGTCTTTGTCTCACAGGCT